AGTCAAAATTAATACATGACTGGCTAGAAGTAAAGCACTAAAATAAATAAATAAACACATAGAAAGAACTTTCCATACAAATCTGGTTTGGAATATATTTGAATATTTGTGTTTTGTTCTTTCATACTTGAACCAGTTCTGAGTCCTTAACTGGCACAGCCCTTAGCTCACTGGTGAGCTAAGTCGTGAAACTCTTCTATAGTTTACATCGAGAGGATGCATTTATTTAAAATCTCTGTTATCAGTTATAACAGAGATTGCTTCGGAACCCATTGCTTGCTATGGAACTTGCTTCGGAAACCATTTTGGATTGAAATCTCTGCTTGTTTTCATTCCTAGAGGTGAATTTTATTTTGTTTAAATGTGAAGGAAACCATTTGGCTGTTTTATATTAACAAACTATTAAAGAAAGGGAGAAAATATTTTTTACTGCTTGATCCCCAATTGAGGCTTTTGTGCCTAGATAAATGCCTTGGATGAAGAAATTCACACTTGGCATGAATTAAATCCTTGTGGTGGAATAGTCACTTCATTAACTTAAATAAAATATATATTTTGGTTTAATCAGTTTGAACTTTCAAAAAGTATAAGCTTCTCTTCACCGAAGTTCTTTCATGTTACATTTGATAGAGGAGCGTGGTTCTCTTAGAGATGTTCCCGATGTACAATGTGTATCTAGGTATCCTTTACTTACTAGAAGTGAATTTACCAGAACTGAAGAGCAGCTGATAAATTTATATGGTAACAATTAGGTGCAGGTAACCCCCGGGCCAACTCTCATCTTGGTTCCCCAGATTTCATCTAGTACTAATATTCTACACATCTTAAGCAAATCTTGTTCCATTTTTTATTGTTTTACATGCTTTAGAGTTAGGGAAATCTGGGTTCCAGACCCTGGTTCTCTCATCTCAATTTTTTCATCTATTAAATGGGAATGATGAAAACTTGCAGAGTTGTTAGAAGCTTCTTAATAATGTACACAGACTATGTAACCCTGGGCCAGATACCTGTAGAAGGCACTCAATATATCAGAAGGGCTAGAATTACTGTGGTTACCCACAATTTGATGTTTTTCAGTAATGAGGACCTTTCCAAAATCCAGCATGACTGCTTTAATATCATTTGTTAGTCAGTTAAATGAAATAAGCTCTTGAGCACCTGAGTAGCTCAGTGGTTGAGTGTCTGCCTTTGGCTCAGATCTTAATCCTGGGATCCTGGAATCCAGTCTTGCATCAGGCACCCCGCCAGGAGCCTGCTTCTCCCTCTGCCTATGTCTCTGCCTCTCTCTTTGTATCCCTCATAAATAAATAAATAAATAATCCAAAGAAAGAAGCTCTCACTAAATAAAGTAATACTGTATAGTAAAGGGAAGGCTTAATTCAGGGGAAAGATAAAATTATTTGCAAATCAATCTGAGGTGTTAGACAATTACAGGATATTTTTTGGAAATTGAAGCAAGTGTTATTCTTTGTTTTTGTGTTGTTGTTTTTTTTTGCTAAAAAGGATTTAAAACAATCTTTTTATGATGTGCTTATAGCTCCTATTTTTCAAGAATGCTTTTAAAACATGTGTTTATAGTTGAAAATACATGGGGAAAGGCTCGTTTAAGTTATTGAAGCAGATATTTTTCTGCTTTTTTGTTTTGTTTTTGTTTGGTTTTTAGTAAATGATATCTTGATAATAACCCCTTGGCATTTGAACAGAGCTTTTATAAATTATCTCAGCTAGTAATCACAGCTTTGTGCCCTACTATTCCAACATATATTTGACAGCTGAGAAGGGTTAGACACTGAGAGGGCAACAGGCTTATGCAAGAAGTGCAAAGTCTACAACCTACATCTTCAAACTCTTAATTTAGAGTTGTTTTCATTATTCCTTTCAGGGGGATAAGTCTAGGAAAAGAAAACAAAAGGAGGTGAAAAACATAGAGCTTTAAGGTCTTAAAACCTTGGTGGTTCCCCTTTGTCTATTGCCAAGTTCAAAATTAGAAGGTATTTCTCTCATCTATAATTCTCCACATAAACCCCAAACTCCAATAAAGCAAAACTATATCTTTTTATACCTCTATGCCTTTGCCTGTGGTTTCTTCTCCACATATCCTTAACACTTCTTCAATATCTATTATATTTGTATAGTTATTATGCAATTAATTTATCAAGTGTCTACATAATATTTACTGTGTGCTAGGTGCCACTGGAAGTACTTCACAAATATTAACTCAGTTAATCTTCATGATAATCCCAGGAGATAAATAATATTATCCCATTTTACAGATGATAAAACTGAGATATTGAAACTGCAGAAGAAATCAAGATTCCAAAAAGAGCATTCTGGTTTCAAAGTGGGTACTCTTAACCATTATACCATGTCACATATGTACTCAGAATTTCAAAACTGAAAACTTATCATATCCAGCCAAGACCAGTGTCTAAATAGCATGCTACCAGAGGCCTGTGGGTTGTAGAATTCATTACCTTATAAATTTACCATCAACTGGAGCCTAGTTATCTTTTTAGCCTCAGAAACCTGGTATTTTTCAGCAATCATACCAAGAAGAGATCCTTTTCTTGAAAGTGGACTCAACAATGCTTTGACGCATGAGATTAATGTTTCAAACTAGAATGCTAGTTTATTTATTAACTTATGATGAAAAATAGGACTACCACATGGACCAAAATACCCACGTCAGCATGACAAGCACACTCTGCCTCTCAGTAGTCCCGAGAAACCAGATCACTCTTGGCAAGTTGCTTGGTCAACGTGGCATTGTAGCAAGGGGTATTCCTGGGATGAATACAACATTAATTGGCATCAGCTAAGTTAGCATGAGGTATCTATATCATGATAGCAACAGCCTTGCCAATGGGACCTGGAGGACATGAAGTTCTTTGGCTTTTTGCCTGGGACATTTCTAGGCTGGGCACTAACATCCACTTATCTGTGTCATTCTCTTCTTTTCTATGATTGTAATGCCTGGCCAGCCCTTCCTTTCCTTCCCACATTCTATTGCTAATGCGTGTTATTATGTCAGACTGTTCACAGTCAAGTCTTGAGGCCTGGGACCTTTCTATCTCTTTAAGACAGTCTTGGTAAAAAAAAAAAAAAAAAAAAAAAAAAAGACAGTCTTGGTGTAATTATATTTTCAGATGCTATTCTCTATTTGATGAAATCCTTAAGACCTAATACAAATACCATCTAGTTTTTCCTACACTGAATTATAACTCCATGAGTGGTTTTCTTAATACCAAAGACAAAATCATATTCAATCTTCTTTGTATTTCCAGAAGTAAGTGCATAGCCTAGCACATAATAAAAGCTCAATGGATATTTGCAGAACAACAGGGAAATTAGGAAGTAGTAAATCATCATGATTATGAGTGTAAGCTCTGAAGCTGGATTGCCTGACTTCGTAGCTCATCTCTACTACTTAATACTTATGGGATTTTGGCAAGTTACTTAACATCCCTAAGTTGTAGTTTTCTCAATAAAACAGGTATAATAATGGTACCCTATCTCCCAGGGTTCTTGAAAAGATTATTTTATTTTATTTATTTTTAAAGATTTTATTTATTTATTCACGAGACTGGGGGTGGGGAGGGAGAGAGAGAGAGAATGAGAGAGAGAGAGAGAGAGAGAGGCAGAGACACAGGCAGAGGGAGAAGCAGGCTCCATGCAGGGAGTCTGACGTGGGACTCGATCCTGGGTCTCCAGGATCATGGTTTGGGCCAAAGGTGGCGCTAAACCGCTGAACTACCCAGGCTGCCCGAGTTTTCTAAGGAAGATTAAATAAATTAATACATATAACAAACCTAGAAATGTACCTGGGATTTCATAACTATTAGTTATTATATAACCATTCTCTCAGCATTTTAGATTATATTTTTACTTGTTTTGTAAAAAGTATGACTTATTTTGCAAATAGCAAAGTACTGCTGTCCTTGTTTTAAGTGTCATCATTGGATATTTAATCAAGAATTGTTTTTGTTCACAAAAATTCAGTAAAATGGAAACTCCCATGTAGTGCTGATGGGAGTATGGAACGGTACAACTTTTATGGAATGCAATTTGGCAATATTTATCAAAAGCCTTATAAAAGTTCATTCCCTTTAGTCCAGTAATTCCCCTTCTAGAAATTTATCTATCCTACAGCCACAGTCAGAAACTTGGATAAAACATATACACGGACATAGTTTATCACACTATCATTTATCATGCCCCTAATTGGAAATTACTTAAATGACAAGTCATGGAAGAATAATTATACAAATTATGTTACCTTATTTAATGGAATAGTATGTAGCTCTCAAAGCTATGTCTTTAAAGTTATTTAACAGTATGGGAAAATGCTTCCAAAAATTTTAAGTGGAAAAAAAAACCCCAAACTACAAAATGGTATAGGTGATGTGATTTCCTTCACACTGAGAAGAAATCAATAAAACCAAAATAGTAGTGATTATCCTTAGATGACACAACTATAGAGGATTTTGTTTATATAATCTTTCTTTCCCAAAACTGCTACAATGAGCATGTATTTTAGAAATAAAAATAATTTATGTGTTTTCATGGTATTAAGTGTGTCATTTTAAGACATGTTGAATAGTAAGTCTCATTTTTACCATATTCCAGATCTACATTTTTTTCAGTGAAATATCTCTTCAGGTTTTATACTAGAAGTAATTAGGAAGACAGGATTCACTTTCAGAAAACCTTGCCTTACTTACTTGGTTAAATAAGCACAAACTGTAAGTGCTTATTGTAAAAAAATTTTGAAGCAAAACGAAGGTTAAGTCTCAGCCCTCATGGAAAAATCAGTCTGCACGTACAACTTCTTGAGATCTGCTGTTTAGTGTTTGATAGGAACTTCTCTAAGAACATTGTTACTCAGAAGAAAAGAAACACTTGTACATGAGAATTAAGAGAAAATTGCTTTTATAAGCAAATCGTTTCAATTTTGAGCCTTTCACAGGTAGTAATGATTTTATTTCTCCTTTGTCATGTAGGAGCTGTGAGGGAAGAAATATCCGATATAGAACATGCAGTAATGTGGTAAGTATTGAGCTCCTGTGATTGTGATCATGTATTTTTTAAACAACTGAATAATGCTAAGCAGTTTTATGTATCCTGAACAAGAAATTAATTACTGTTTCGATAAGAGTTATTTGTCTCACACTATAGTGATTATACAACCTTAAAAAAATAGATATTTTTAATATTCCTTAATATAAACTTTCAATCAGTTGGCCAGATTTCAACTAACTAGACTATTTCAAAACAGGGACTCTGTACTTCTTTTCTGCTTTCTGACTTTTCACATCTAAGTCTCTTGAGAACCAAGAAGAGGAATGATAAAAGGGAAACCACTGGGGTCTTGTGAAATAGATATTAATCAAACTCAGATTTGACAAATTCATTCATTCATTCAACAAGTACTGTTCAGTGCCAACTATGTGTGAGGCATTACACTAGTCCAAGGAAAAATAACATGTGGTCACTGTCTGGAAACATCTGTGATAAAGTAAGATGCAGAGAGAGAAGATAGATGTGCAAATAACCACATTGTAGCACAAAGTATGACAAATGCTATAAGTAAAGTATAAAATTCTTTGTGGGTTAAAAGTGGAGAGGCATCTAAAGGCTCTTCAAGGAAAAAGGATCTGAGGTGGGGCTTAGAGGACCCGGAGGGCTGTGACTGATCCACAGTGAGTGTGAGGGGGTGACAGCCAGTCCAAGTAAAGGGGACGCAATGGGCAACTTTGGATGCGGAAATGTTCAAGGTGTGCTCTGTGTACAAATTTGGATAGGATTGTGCCTGGCAGTATGGAAGAAAATAATTGAAAGATATTCTGAGGTTACAACTTGAACAGATTTGAATGTTAGTCTTCCAAACTGATATTAATTCAGTGAATAATGGGGGATCACTAGAGGCTTTGGAGCAAGAGAATGATATTATAGTCTCACTTCAGGGAGATGAATTCTGTAACGATATGAAGGACACTCCAGAACAGGAAATGAGTGGGGAGCAAGATACAAACAGGGCTTACACCAGAAGGAAATAGGTACGTGACAGATAAAAATTATGATCACTTTGCAAGACCTCACAAGTAATTTAAATTAGAATGATGAGTTGAAGTGAGAATAAAGGAAACAGAGAGGTGTATACACATTTAGAGCCCTTGGGCTGGCCCATCCTCTGTTAGAGGAGCTCTTTTCTCCTCTATGGGATTCACATTTTCCTCATTCCATTCAGCTCAGCTACCAGCTCCTCAGAGGAGTTTCCTCAACCACCTTATCTGATGTGCTTGTCCCACTGCCCAGTCCCACCATCTCTCACAGCAATTAATCTGCCTCCTTTACAGTACTTTGACTTTCTTTGTAGCACTAATCTCTACCAAAGTTTATATTCTTTGATTACTTGCTTGTTTTCTGTTTCCACACTCTAGAATGTAAACTCCATGAGGATAGGAGCCTCGTGCCTCATGTTTGCCCCTTTATCCCCCATGCCTGGAAATGTTGACTTGCACATATTAAGCACACAATAGAAATTTGCTGAATTTAAATGGATACTCGGGCCTCTGAAAGAATGGTGGATACCATTATCAAAACCAGGAGCGTTGGTAGGAGGTTTGGGAGAGGAAAATGACCAATTTGATGTAAGAACACTAAAGAATTTGACTTGCAGGCCAGTATAGGTGGTATATTCAACTATTGCAATGGGGATTTGGTCTTAGGAAAGCGATCAAGGCATAAGCCACAGAAAAACACAAATAAGATGTATAACATTTGAAGATTTAGAAACAGTTCCTTAGGTAGAGCATGTAGAATCCTAACCAGAGAGATGCGCAGAACCTCGGTGAATGTCTGTATTCAGACAGAAAGAGAACATGAGGGCAGCTGGGTGGCTCAGCGTTTTAGTGCCACCTTCAGCCCAGAGCGAGATCCTGGAGACCTGGGATGGGTCCCACACTGGGCTCCCTGCATGGAGCCTGCTTCTTCCTCTGCCTGTGTCTCTGCTGCCCCCCCCCTTTCTCTCTTTCACTCTCTCTCTCTCTCATGAACAAATAAATAAAATCTTTAAAAAAAAAAAAAGAGAGAGAGAACACGAGAGGCAGGTAAACCACACAAGGCATGAGAGAAGTAGCAGAAGACATAAGAATTTCTAAAGGTGTTCAGTAGGATGAATGTTGCCAAGAGGTTGAACACCAAAAAAAAAAAAAAGGGCTGCTGGGGCAACTGTTTCTATAGTGTAGTAGGGACAAAATCAAGATCACAGGAGGTAAAAAAAAAAAAAAAAAGTATCAATGAGAACATGGAGTTAATGGGTATAAGCTATTATTATGAAACATTAACAGAGCATTAACAGACTCCATCATCGGTGGAATCACATAGAGGTAGGTGGGTAGTTGGTTTGTTTGAATTGAGGAGACCTTGAGAGATAAGTTGATCTAAAAAGGAGAGATTGATGACATGAGGAGGTCAAGGGATACTTGAAGTCCCAGGCCCCAAAGGAGACAGTGGGTGACAAGAAGAGGAATCTTGGTGGGAGACCTGGATGGCTCAGTGGTTGAGCATCTGCTTTTGGCTCAGATCATGATCCCAGGGTCCTGTGATCCAGTTCCACATCAGACTCCCCATGGGGAACCTGCTTCTCCCTCTTCCTATGTCTCTGCCTTTCTCTCTGTGTCTCTCATGAATGAATAAATAAATTATATATATATATATATATATATATATATATATATATATTTTTTTTTTTTTTTTTTTAAGTGAAGGAGGTGAGTTGAACCCAAAGCAGTCAGCATGAAGACCTACAACAGCTACTGGGGGAATCAAGTGGAAGCCAGCAAAGCAAAATAAAAAAATTGTTGGATGGCAAAGAGGCGGTTCAGCTGAGGCCAAAAAGCTTGGTCTGACAGCAAACAAGATCAGAAGGGCGTAAGGACTTAGGCCGGTGGTACCGTGATGCACTAGGTTAGGTATAGAGATGACCCACAGCTTGAGTACAGATGAGATGGGCTGAGAGAGACCAAGATGAATGAAAAGTATAAATATTTTTTAACGCACAACTGAGGAGAACGCCAGTAACTAGAAGGCATGATCATTGGGAGTCAGAGTAATGGTTTGGTGGAAAATTTTGCCTAGTTCATTTCTGTATTTTCACTGAGGACACTAGGTGCCACACGGTTCAATTGCTGTTTGGTTAAAAGAATCAAATCTGTAGTTCTTGAATTTTTAAAAAATGGCCCTGACAGATTTTGTTTTAGAAATGGTATAAAAAATGTTTATAAAAAATGTTTAATGGAAATATACTTTAGCTCATTGGTTTTCTTTACTATCCCTTTTAATTTAGTGATATCTTATATATCAGTCTTTTCTTAACTACCATGATGTTATTTTAAAATCTTCATAATGTCCATTCTAGTCCTTTATAGCCTTTAAAAGAGTGGAAAGGGTCCAAACTCTCCTAAGTAGATGAATGCCTAAAGCATCATGAGCAGATGTCTGCCTACCCTTTCCCTAAAGCTCTTCAGAAACAGCCCACAAAAAAAAAAAAAAAAAAAAAAAAAAAGAGAGAGAGAGAGAGAGAGAGAAAGAAAAAGAAAAAAAAAAAGAAACAGCCCACAATTTCTTTGCTATCATTATGAGCACTTTTGTGGACAGATGTAGGCTAAGACTCTGACCTAATTTTATTTTAAACCCATAGCGTTACATGAGCCAACTCTTTACAGCTTGTACAATCAAACTGACCCTGAGTTTTTTATGAGAATCTAAAGTCTTCAAATCATTTGAAGATTTTTTTTTTCTGGCTTTTGGCCACGACAGAAGCAACATTGCCAAAAAAATAAACGAAAAATCTCATAAGAAAGAATCTTTTCATAATCACATTACAATTTCTCAAACTATGAAGTTCAGGGCAATTCAGTTGTTAAATATTCCCCTTTTAAATACTTGTTTTGGAAAAACTCAAGGATCTCTTTTCACCTAAGCCTCCAGGGTCAGCCCTTAATCCTTGACAGCTTCTTGGGGCTCTTCTGAACCACTTCTTCAAAGATTCACCCTCTTTTTCTATTCTTTGTAGATGCTGCCTCTGACATTTCTTTGGGTTCTTATTATCTGAGACTGAGGAGGAGAAAGCATCTCCTCACTTTTCTAGTTTTTTTTGCATTGCCTGAAAAATCAGTTCACTTCCTTTTACAGTTTTCTTGTTCATCACTCTACAGACAGGGTGTGTCAGTAAAGAACGTTCCCATGACGTTTCCCTAGTTCTCATAATCATGCTACCTTCTTTTCTTTTTTAAAAAGATTTTATTCACTTAGAAAGAGAGCAAACAAGTAGGGGCCTGTGGTGGGGGGCAAAGGGAGAGGGAAAAGCAGATTCCCCATTGAGCAGAGAGCCTGATGCGGAGCTCCATCTGAGGACCCTGAGTTTGTGACCTGAGCGGAAGGCAGACATTTAACCAACTAAGCACCCCCAGGCTACCTTCTTCTACTGTCTCTAGCTGTTCCAAGTAGACTATTTCCTTTTCTAAGGATAAAGTGCATCCAACACTTTGGATTTCACAGTCCCTGCTCTTGTCTAGAAAAGTGGCAGGGGCCTCTTCTGGAAGGAAAGACTAAGGCTACTAATGGGAAAAACTATTGGTGTCAATTAGCAAACCACTCAAGTGGGTCACTTAGGTCTCAGGTCTTCCCTGGGGCCCTCAAAAAGGTTTCCTTAGGTCACATCTTCATGTTTATTCAAATTAGATCTCAAATCTGAGACCCTTGATCTCAACTAGGCATTTTAAATTGACTTTCAATGTGTTTAGACTAATATCACATTACTTATAAACTGTTTCTTTGTCACCATCCTTAATCTTTACCAGAGTTGATGTTTAGGAGACAGTGACCATACTGAGCAACATAAGAGCCAAGGTGCCTGTGGTAGCTGGTAGTGCTCTTAACTTCTTTATTAAGGTTTTATTGCTTCACTGTCACACTTTACTATTCTTTAAAAAAAAAAAAAATCTATGAGACTAAAGTTGGTTGGAAAGCCACATTTCTAAGCC